AATGAAAGCAAGCCTTGAAGTACGACAGTGACTTGACTTATAGCACACATATATCTCTCTGCCAACAAGGATTTGTGAACTTTAAAAATACGTTGTTATGATTAGAAGCTGTATGTAACTAAATGCCTATTTTGGCATCAAGCTTTGGGATGCCTCTTTTGTTTCTGGCTTATTCCAAACTCTCACTTCTCTAAAAATAAGTTACATGATAGGAGAGGCAACTAAAAGGGAGGCTAATTCATCCAGGTGCGCTAATTTCTGAATGGGCAGCTCCACGAAACAAACAGGTGCATCTGACCTTCCAGTTCATCTGGAAAATATCAAAACCCTGCGGAAGTGACAGGAACAGCATCAGTGCGCAGCACCTAAATGTAACCCCCAGCCCCTTCCCAGGGCCCACAGGTACATGAAAAGTAGTCCCAAGCCACTCAAGACACAACTGAAAGAGACACCTACCCTGTCCCACCAAGATCTGAGCCACTGGCTCGTTAAGCTTGTTTTCTTTTTCCCAATCATTTAGTTTAGGAAAGCTTGAAGAAGGCATTTAATGATTTTCCAAAGTATCCTCTGTTCAAACACACCTTCCTTAACAAGAATCATCATATTAAATACTTCAAGAGACACTGGTTTCTTGCTAAACAAAGCTTGATGATAGAGTGGTTATTCGTGTTTGTCTTCCACAGGACTTGCTATAGCCCACAGCTATTTCCACTCTGCTCACAAATTCAGTCTCATTACAGATTGTGATTATTGTGTATTCTGGCCATATCACGTGAGCTGTGTGTTCGCTCAGGGAAATGTCCTGATCAGAGTGAGCCAATCAGAAATTCTGAAATTTTCAAGAGATTTTTTTTAAAATTGTCTTTTACTCAGGTTTTTTTCCCCAAGTCTTTATGAATAACGTTCACTCCTACCCACATAAAAATTATTTTCAAGTAAATCATTATGACTTTCTTCAATTTGCCTCTGGAATCTGTCTATGTGAGATTTGAAACCAAGAGGCTGAGAGAATTGAAAAGTCTTAATGTAAGCCTTTCCAAGATCCTCATAGCTGCTACGTTTCATTTTTCTTCTTGGATAGTTTAATAAAACTAAGACTCACTGGAGAAGGGCCAGTGAGCTACAGGAATATCAGCTTTCACTTAAAAAGTAATAACAATAAGGACAATGCAAGTCACTAATGCAGGTTTGGGGTGTCCTATGACCTCCAGTCCACCATTTGTGTAAATTTGGTGTCATGTGGGGAAAGTAAAAAAAATAAGCAAAGTTTAGTTAGGGAATATCAGAGTAAAGCACTCAACTGAAAACTTGTAAGAAACTATTTCTTGCTAAAGTAATACTGTCACTTATCTAAACAAACACATTTAGGTAAAACAGATGTTCACAGAAATTAAAAGTTGTAAATTTTCTTTCTCTTCTGAAGTAACTGTCCAAACATTTTCTCATCCATTCTTGTCAATCTTTAAAAACTGCCTTATATGTTTAAAATGATCCTAAAGAGTCTAAAGATCTCTTGTCCCTTTACAAAATAAAATGTCACACTTCCAACCTTAAAAATCTGTGAAAACCTTTTTCAAAATATCAAGGCATTTCTATATTTCCTGAAAGATTTACCATTAAGCCATAAGTCCTCCAAACAAAAAGACCATGGAGTGGATAGTGTGTCAGAGCACAAAGAATAATGAGGATAGCTCATATTGTGTCTTCATACCAATCCTTACCTTCTCCCTCCACTAGTAAAACCAAGTACAGACACTAAATCGAATTTTCTTCCTCATTCTACCACCTCAACAGCGGCTGTCTTCCAACATGGTATAATAAGCCTGATTCTGTTCATGATCTTGGCAGCCATGATTCCCAATCCACATCTCTAGTCTTGACTTTTTTCCTGAAAACACACCCCAAGGTTCCACCTGCCTGGTGAGTATCACCATACAGATGTCCCAACCCACCTTCAAAGGCCTCATGACCCAAACAAACATACTCCAGTTCCAACCACAATGCTGCTCCCTGCTCCGTGTTCTTGGATTTTAATAAGGTATCACCATCCTCTCAACCACAGAGTGAGCTCTGAGACAACCAGTTAAGATTCAGATGGAGCAAATTACCTCTCTAAGCCGGTTTCCTTTTCTATAAAAGCTGACGATGACCTACTTTAGATGACTGTTGGGGGATTAAATGAGATAATGATAAAGTAGGCACCTGATCATTAGATATTCCCCTTCCTCACTCTCTATATTTAATCGCTGGTCAAGGCCTATCAACTCTGCCAACCAAATGCCTCTAAAATCTTCCTACCATCATTGTCCTGGTTTGGACACTCAGCATTCCCAGCCTGAACGATTGCAAGCTCATGGATGGTCACCTTGCTCCCTTTACTCTCCAATCTGCTTGCCTATAAGCTCCATCAGATAGGAGTATAACGGGTCTTATTCGTTTTGTCTGTTTTCCCAAAACCCAGCACAATGCCTGGCACAGAGTCAGCATTCAACAAACACTTATTGGCAATGCTGACTGGCTCCAAATTCATCATCCAGACACAATGAAGCCATGCTCTAAGAAAAACCTCAATCCCACGAGCACTGAAGGAAGTCCTTTGCATACCGACTCATCACAACCTTACTCTCAGAGGCCCATGGTCCCAAAATCCCTGTTTATCCCCCTCGAACCCCACTGTGGTATTACTAATATAGCAGCATTGGGCCAAGATAAGTAGTTAGTAAGCAAAAAAGTCGATTCCACATAGCCAGAAAATCATAAGATGTGTGTTAAATAACAATAAGTAAATAGATAAGTAAACAATAAGTAAGTAGAGCACATATGTTAAACATAGAAAGAAAGAGATGGAAAGACCAAGAGATGACTAATTTTCAGTAGCTATTAAATATTCATGAGACACCTGGGCTCTAAATATTCATGATACACTAAATATACAAGAGGCAGTAAATATTCATGAGTACTCAATATTCATGAGGGCTTGATTCGGCCACTCATTCATTGGTGACACCCATTCTGGCCCCATGTGTCCTTTGCCCAAGAAACACAAACAAACCCATGACTATTCAGCAGGCTTACTGGCAAGCTACAGCTGTGGCCAGGCCCACTTGTCCCTGCACTCTCCAACAGAGTAAGTGTGTTCCACTAGCCTGAAATCCCTTCTGTCTGTGGTCCTCCTTGCCTGAACTTCAACTCTGGTTGCCAAACCACACTATTAGCAGGAAAGGCTGCTATTCTTTCAGCAGAGAGAGACAGGGTCATTCCCCGTCCCAGGATTCAGGCAAGTGGTCCTTCTACCCACTCATACCATGTCCTATGTGTGTGAACCTATCCCATCGCTTTCCCCTTGCTTCCCACTGTGTGTTTTAAATTGTTTTAATGCGTTGTGTGATTTATGCATTTTAATATGGTTCATGAGACTTCTGTTCTATGGCCTCTGGGAAAGCCTGCATGCATGCTTCTTGGAGGTCAACACTGCATCAAGGTAATACCCACCCGACACTCTGGCTGCTGTGTAGAGAAGAGATTGTAGGAGGAGCAGAGACCTATTAGGCAGCTATTCCATTCCTCTACTAAAGAAACGAGGGTAGCTTGGGTTAGGATGGTAGCAAAGGGGATAGAAACACATGGACAGATTCAGGATATGTTTTGCTAGGAGAATGAAGAACAAGGATGGTGGGTGTGAACAAACAGGGAAAGTAAAAGGCGTCGAGACTGCAGTCAGAGAAGGCAATTTCAGAGCCTAAAATATTAGAGATGGCAATACTCCAAAAGACAAAGAGACAACAACGTACCTAAGAATCACAGCTCCTCATGGATCAAAGGGGCCTTGGAAGGTCATCTACACCAACCAGCAAACAAATACATGACTCCCCTCCACACCTCTACTAAGACATGCCTCCAGGGCCATCCATCTATACCAATGACCAAACAAATATATGACTCCTCTTACTTTCACCCCTATACCTGACCCTGACCCCCATGCTCATCCAGAGCCATCCACTACAACTTCCAACAGCTCTCTGCTAGAAAATTATTCTTCTTACTGACCTGAATTCTGACCCCCCCTAGGTCCTGTCCTTGAGGATACAGAAAATTAGGTCATGCCTCCTCCACATGACAGTCCTTTAGATTCCTAAAGACATTTATCAGGCTCACCTGAGCCTTCCCTTTACAGACAAATATCCCTTTTCACCATTCTGCCTTACACGTAACAAATTTTCAGTCCTTTCACCATCCTGATTGCTGTCCCCTGAAGGCATCCAGAACTCAGCATTGTCCCAAGTCAAAGACTCATACAAAAACAGGAGAAATCAGTCACCTCCCTTGATCTCTGCCATATTTCTAATAATGCAACCTAGGATTAGCTTCCCTGGTGGTCACATCAGAGTTAATTCTTGTCTGGCTAAAGTGGAGTATGGATAAAGATGACTGGCATACGTGAGGTGAAGACACAATGATCCTCTGTTGAAGTACCGTTAAAGTCTGTAGTTAACAGGTCTGAGGATGAGAAGAGGGTGGCTGAAGCAAATGGCAGTGAATTCAAGAAAGAAGAGAGAATACCAATCTGGAAGTGGCAGTGAAGAACAGTTTTCTCTCTTCCCCTGAGGGTGTTGTGAAGGAAGTGATGTGGTCATAGCAAAAGACCAAAGAGTTTGAAGAAAAAAGTCAAAGACACAGGGGAGTTTGCTCATACTAGAGCAGCACCTGAAAGGATACCAGTTGAAACAGCTTCCTTAAGCTTAGGTACCATGTTGTATGATTAATACATATGTAGAACACCATAGAAGAGTGACAGGAATGGCCAATGTTGACGTATTGGCATGTAGAAAGCTGATAAGTCACCATCAATAATTACAAGCTAATAGTATGTTTATATTGACCACCACCACCAAGTGAGATACCTAAGCAGTAGCATGGGGTCTTTTAGAAAGCTAGAGAAAGGCAGTAGATAAAGACAGGAGCTAGAAGTGAAAGAATCATAACTCTGTTTAAAAAGATACCTTGAGGCAGTCCACTATTTCTCACCCCTGGTTCATTTACTTGAATTGTGTCATCTTCAAGGTAGAAGTAGATTTTATAGCGTCTTATTCTATAGTTTTCTTGACTTTTTTCAGGCACTTCATCTTCTAAATAGGCATCAAAAGATAATACCTGTTGGAATCATAATTAGAAACAAAGAAATGAAAAAAAATCAGCAAACTTAAAATAAAGCTACTGCCTATATATTTTTTGTTAATGTAAAGAAAAAAGTTGGGAAGATTTTTGCAAGAAGACATCCCCACATCAGCTATGAGAATGGATATACGATCTAGATTACAGTATATAAAGATTATTTTATATTTTCATCACCATCTGGTTAGAATGAGAAAATGATATTCAAGCAATAAATCCATCATTCAGCTCTACCTTAAATCGAACTAGCATCTGTCTTTGGAATTTCACAGTGGGATTCTATATGTATGTGTTACAGAAGACAAAACATTCTTTCCCACAAGATGAATATAAGTTTTGCCATTTTTTCCCCATTAAAAACAACACAAAGCTACCTTGGTTCTAGAATAAAATTATCCTGACTTCTGGTCCTGCTGATTGCTTGCCTTGAGGCAATTCAAACAGGCAGATCTGAAATTCTTCCAATGCACTGGAGACTCCACCATACACTTCTTCAGGACCCTCAAAAAGCCTAACTCAATGCTAGACCTAGTCTCACTGTGTGTTTTGGGGGAGGGGAGAAGTGGACGTTAATAGGAGAGGTGGATTCTAAAGTAGTTACAGTAAAAATCAGAGATAGTAAAAAATACCCTTGAAAATTCCTTAACCCCTTTAGAAAACTGTGCCTCTCAGTAAGTTCAACATAGTCCATTTTTCTACCACGTTGAAGCAGAAGACTGACTACCTCTTCAATTGAAGACCAGCTGAAAGAGCTTCCTTAGGCTTAGGTACCATGTCGTATGAATAATACATATCTTTAACCATCGGAATTACTCTCAACACGGCGACCTGCTCACACAATGAGAAAGACATGGTAATTGAGGGAACAGCAGATTCAGGCTACCATTTCAAGCTTGACCAGGGCCACGGATTCCTTTAGAGCTCCATTTTAATATTCCCTTTGCTCTCATTTTTGATCAATTTTTATAATTAAAGTTGCAAGAGTTAATTGTACATATGATGTAATACCAGGGTAATTCAACATGGACAATATAATATATATGAGTGAGTCTGTTAGGTGTAACCTACCCTCTAGGAGTGGTCAGTTATCCTAATTAGGAATACACACTCTGGGAGTGTTTAGCAAATTTCTATCAGAAGCCTACACTTCAGAAGTAGCTGGAAAAATGCTTCAGTAATTTATCTCTGATCAACATAAGCAGCTTTGTTAATTACCATAAAGGATGTTAGAAATGCGTTTTAGTTAATGAAATTATTGTATTCAACATGAATCGATCAGTTAACAGATACTGACCAAGCATTTTCTTTACCAGAACAGGTTCTAAGAATCTAGTAAGCCCAGAGATCTACACCCTTCACAATGGCACCTTTGGCTTCATTCCAAAATGGTCCTATGTTCAGCTGCTCGAATTTCTGGTGAAATCATCTGGCCTGATCCCAGTTAGAAAGTTAGCTAAACCTACTACTAGAATGTTGTCATATTTGTGTTGAGTGAACATTTCCAGTAAAATGCTGTCAGATGGGTACAGGGTTTCCTTCTGAAGTGATGAAAATGTCTTCAAACTAGATAGAGGTGATGGTTATACAGCATTGTGAATGTACTAGATGCCACTGAATTGCACACTTTAAAATGGCTAATGGTTAATTTTATGTGATGTAAATTTTACCTCAGTCGAAAAAAGATGTGGGACACTGAATTGTGTTGGACACACTAAAATGGTGAATTTTATGTTATATGAATTATACCTCAATTTAAAAAGTAGGGGGGAAGAAAGATATTGTTGGAACACCTAAAAAGACAAGAGAGCTGGAGTGTCATCGAGCTTTCAGTAAAGGTAGCGTGGGGAGGGCTGAATACGCCACCTCAGAATGTGCCACTTTGGCACGTGGATTATTTTGAGCTGAAAACAATCAGAGCCCAGTAGACTCAGGAAGAACTTTTTACCTTCCCCTTCACTGCCTAAAAGAATTTAGATAGGAGGCCTTTGCCAGGAAGAGAGCTATTACCAGAGAAAACTTTTTATATCAGAAAGACTTATCTACATGGCATGACAAACATTTGTTTACCAAACATTTGCTCTTCTCATCTTCCTATGAATTGTCTTCCTCCCCTTTGAAGCCCCAGACGCCTACCCACTTCTCCTTAGCTCTGGATGGTATATAAACCTCAATTACCTGACTGCCAGGGTGTCTCATATTTTTATGGGGCTCCTGTACGTACAAAGTGTGTTTTTCTCCTGTCAATCTGTCTTACGTCATTTAGATGAGCCAAAGAATCTAGAAGGGAAAAGTTTCCCACTCCTACAATAGTATTCCACCTGAAACATGTTTTTTCTTTGTAATTGGGTCGGGAAGTATGGAGAAAATTTTCATAGCTCTCACCTACCTCTATGCATTAAATGCTATTGGTATACACTTGTGAATGACCAAACTGGAATATCAGTTGACAACACTGCCATGTATGTAATCATTAAATATTTATCAATCAAATGATGCATTAAAAGAGAATAAAGGATGTTAGATGGACATAAAGAGACAAAGAAAGATATTATTTTAGGTTGGGCTTCAATATTTCTAGAAGAGGGACAGACTGATATTTCATGTTTTCGTCACCTGAGAATACAGGGTTGCCAAACTCCAGCATGAAAGCTCACAAGTCAGAGTGGTCGAGATGGAAAGATAGAAAAGGAAGAGGGAGAGGAAATTGTGAAATGCAGCAAAGTAGAAAGCGAGGGAAGAGACACCAAATAGATTAAAAGTGATCTCACAAAGATAAAAGACCTAATTGCAACGTAACGTGATGTACCAGAAAAGCCAGAGAGAAGGAACTAAAATAAAAATTGCTAGAAATGAAAATTTATAGAAACATAATTATGATTCAAGGTTTCATCATAATTTATGATGTCAAGCATAGCCTAGATAAACAAGGTCCTAGAGGGTATAATTGTCTGTAATTTTCTTGAAAATGGAACGTAAATGTCATTTGGCAGGACATGTGATCTTCAGTTCCCCACAGGCCTCTGCAAACCCTACTGTATCATATGAGGTTACCTGTCAGATCCCCGAGGCATCTGGATTTTTAGCCTAGCCTAGAGGATATAAAATATGAAGTCAATTAGTTTTAAATAATAGATATGTGATATTTCCTCATTATAAAGGAAAAATTTTAAATGTTAGTATTTCTCATATCAGGATCTTCTTGCAATTAAAGCCAAAAGAAACCCAAAGCAGTCAGGAGTAACTTGATGTAAGGTGTAAATTTAGCCTTATGGGGAGGGATTTAATCCTATTTTCATGTCAATTGAGTTATCTGCTTTGCATTGCATATCCCAAATAGGTGGATTTTAACATGAATTTGGATTCCTAATTTTCACTTAAAATGTTTTCAAAATGATTACTGTCTGATGTAGCATTGACACAAAAAATAATTATGTGTAGAAAATTGTCTATTGCAGGCTAGGCAATGCAACCCTAAGAGAAAAGCAAAAGCCTAATCTCTCAGAATAAACCAGAATTTTTAAAGATGGTGAGTTTGGTGTGACCAACGCATGAATCATAAAGACTATTACTCAGGAACCAAACATCTTAGTGTCAAAAACTTACAGCTGAATTTCTAGAGAAGCTGTTAGGAAAGAGAAATGAAACACCAGTAATGTTCAATAAGGCTCAACATTTTAAAAAGAGATCAGCATCACAAATCTAAGCTTAAAATGTTCAGGTTCTATTTGATGAAAAAGGCTCAGACTTAAATTGTGAGGTACTAAAGAAGAAAAGGGAACATAATAGTAAGAACAAATGCATGCTACTATAGGTTGGGTAGTAGTGTTGTTGAGAAAAAAAATTTCCTCTACCCTTCAAAGGTTCCTTTAGCTGGTCTAATAATTAAATTGACATGTGACAGATTAACAGGAGAAAAGAAAATTTAATTTTGCACAAACAGGAACCCCATATACATGATGAGAGGTTCAAAGACAGAAAGGTAAAATGAGGCATATTTGCCATCTTGAGCCAAGGAATAGGAGAAGGGCCTAGGGTTTCAGAAAGGAGAAGAGTAATTCAGAGGATGATAAGAAGAGCAGATGCTCAGTACTTAGAGGTTTGCCCTGAGATACAGAAGGTCACAAAATTTACTTCTGGTGATAACTCATTATGGGGAAGGCCTCCAACTTAAATTCTTTAAGGAGGTGGTAAAAGTTTCTCTTGAGCCTACAGAGTCTCAATTGCCTTCAGCTCAAAATAATCCACATGCCAAAGTGGCACATCTTGGGGAGGCCTGTTCTGAACTTCCTGATAAGTTTCACATTCCAGAAGCTGGATTGGTAGATTGCTCCATCTCAATGAACCAATCTCTTAGTTCTGAGAACAGGTCAGTTCAATTAAACAGCTCTATCTCATTTCAGGAGGTGGCGATGCAGGTGGGCTCCCAAAGTTAGGCCTATAGTGCAAGCAATCAAGTATTTAATAAGAAGAATTTCTATAGAAACAAAAGAAAAACACTGGTTAATGATTGGAGTAGACTATAATCCCACCACATCAACAAACTGAGGAATAAAAACCACATGATCATCTCAATAGATGCAGAGAAAGCATTTGACAAGATCCAACAGCCATTTATGACAAAAACTCTGAACAAAATGGGCATAGAAGGGAACTACCTCAACATAATAAAGGCCATATATGACAAACCCACAGCCAACATCATACTCAATGGGCAAAAACTGAATGCCATCCCCCTGAAAACAGGAACGAGACAAGGATGCCCTCTATCACCACTCTTATTTAACATAGTACTGGAGGTTCTGGTCAGAGCAATCAGGCAAGAAAAAGGAATAAAAGGAATCCAAATAGGGAGGGAAGAAGTGAAACTCTCGCTGTTTGCAGACGACATGATCTTATATATAGAAAACCCCAAAGAATCCATTGGAAAACTCTTAGAAGTAATCAACAACTACAGCAAAGTTGCAGGGTATAAAATCAAT